TGCAGTTGAATGTAAATTCTATGTGAATGATAATCTTGTCTGACATCTTTAAGAATCCTTAGCACACAGAGTTCTATCTGGTCCCTGTACATACTTTAAAAATATTTGTTTATTTGTCTTTGCCCTTTAGAGTGTGAGTCACTTGAGGACAGGAATTCAGTTTAATTAAACTTTTCAAGCCTGTTATGAAACTCAATGTGTGTTACAGAGAAGCCATCCTTAGAACTGTTTGTTGGATGAATTAGAGGAGTGAATGAAAACAGAATAATGTATTTTTTGGGGACAGTCAAGTACAATTAATGAGGGTCTATGAAATGTAGAGGAAGAAGAGTTTCTCCTGTTACGTTTCAAGAGCCATTAGCACCTTGTGCTGTTAATGCCCATCTTCCTAATATGCAAAATGTTTTGAAATTGAAATTAACTTTCTGTGTTAGTCATTTCCTTTCATTTTATTCACCCCCTAATACCCTTGCTTCCCTCTCTAGTATTTGTACACCATCCTTGCAAATCTTGAGTTTCATCCTCATTATTGACCAGGATGATACTCTTCTCTATAATTTTGGTTAGACTTCTCTCAAAATCATTAATACGTACCAAGATCAAAAAGAAGGGATGTATTAATATGAACATAGCTGAAAATGAAAGCTGCTAGGTTGAGAAACAACTTCCCAGCCACTGTGAAAGCCTAAAGAAAACCAAATTTGGAACTTGAAAGTTAACTTTTGGGTGCTTCAGCTGCTCCCAAAATAAAATAAAAAGGAAACAAAGCATTTTTCCCTCTGGGATTGGAGGATGGATTTGGATTTCTTTCAATATTGTATCCTTTCTTTGTAGCATCAAAACCAAAACCGAACCATTGCCAACGAGTCAGCTCTGACTCAGCAATCCTACAGGACAGAGTAGAACTGCCCCATAGGGTTTCCAAGGATGTAATTTTTACAGGAGCAGATTGCGAGGTTTTATTCCCATAGAGCAGCTGGTGGGTTAGAATCACTGACCTTTTCATTAGCAGCTGAGCACTTAACTACTGTGCAACTAGGGCTCCTAGTGGCATTAAGCCCTTCATTATTTGAGGAGAAAAAAAAAAAAAAAAACTCCTTAACCTTCCCTTCCCTTTTTTGAGTGGCTGGAACCTCCCTGGAATTCTTAGTTTCAACACTTCAACTAACATTGCCTAATTTTTCTTTATTGTTGTGAATTTTCCTTCATTCTCCTCAGTAAAACTTAACCTGAACATTCATATTTTTCCATAAGTAATTTTAACTAATTCTAGGAGATTTTAACTCTGAATTCTTTTTTTCAATCATATCTAATGACTGTTGTTGTTACGTGCTGTGGAGTTGGACCCGACTCATAGTGACCCCTCCTTGGGTTTCCAAGGCAGTATCACTACAGAAGTAGATTGCTCAACCTTCTTTCCGAGGAGTGGCTGGTGGGTTTGAACTGCCAGCCTTCTGGTTAGCTGTCAAGTACCTTAGGCACTATGCCACCAGAGCTCCAATGACTCTTAGATTCTCCCATATTTATCAGCTATCAAGGGAATGATAGATAATATGAAAGTAAAGGAGCTCAAGAAACACAGATTCTCAAAATCCTGCACATTCAGCAGTAAAATGAACTATTTTAAGATTTTAAAATATTTTCTTTGTATTCAAGAAATCAAAGGATGCTAGAATTGACAAATGAACAAGGGTATTTCTATTTAGTATTGGAGAAACTGCCCAAAATAAATTACTCTCTAGATCAAGAGCATCTTGTTGTTGTTGTTGTTATGTGCCGTCCAGTCGGACCTGACTCATAGCCACCCCTCCTTGGGTTTCCGAGGCAGTATCACTATGGAAGTAGATTGCCCCATCTTCCTTCTGAGGAGTGGCCGGTAGGTTTGAACCACCAGCCTTCTGGTTAGCAGTTAAGTGCCGTAAGCACTACACTACCAGAGCTCCCAAGAGCATCTTACTGATACTTTTATAGTCAGTGTCATCATTATTTTTTACTGGGTTTGGGCCTTGAGCTATAAATTAAAGGGTTTGCAGGATGATCTGTGCCACATTTTCCCACCTTTAAATATTCTATGATCTTGTGCTATTTTCTGTGAGAAACATAGTTGGTAGCTTTGGTAAAGTGTTTCCTGGGGAGACAAACACCCACAGATTTTTAGCTGCTGACTAAGAACTGACTGATGGGCTTTTTTTTTTCTAAAACAAACTCACAAAGGAAGAAATAAAGGAGATTTTATTTTTCGGTTTGGAACTCTATCTAAAAAAAATAAATAAATAAACTCACAGCCGTCGAGTCCATTTCGACTCATAGTGACCCCTCCTGGGGTTTCCAAGGCAGTATCTTTATGAAGTAGATTGCCCAATCGTCCTTCCGAGGTGTGGCTGATGGGTTTGAACTACCAGCCTTCTGGTTAGCAGTCAAATGCCTTAGGCACTACCCTGCCACCAGAAGATGGTAAATTCTTTCCTGCACTTTTACTTTTTCATCCAGGGCACAGAAGGTAGGAGCATTTAGAAAAATGTAAGATATTGCAGCATATAATTTTTTTTTTTTTTGGTTCTTTTCCTTCACCTTCCTCTTTTCTCTAAAACTGGAATTTTCTCCTCTAGGAGATCTGGTAGCTTAGTGCCTAAGGCACTTGACTGCTAACCAGAAGACTAGTGGTTCAAACCCACCAGCCACTCCTCAGAAAGAAGACTGGACAATCTACTTCCGTAGATATACCACCTCAGAAACCCAAGGAGGGGTCAAATCGACTCGATGGCAGTGAGTTTGGTTTTTGATTTAGATTTACTCCCATTTTTTTTTCTTAATGAAGGATATTATTTGTTTTATGGTAGTTACTCTTTCAGTGTCTCCAACTTTCCTGCAAATGGTCAACAGCCTCTACAATTCTGATTAATGGGAGATAACTAAGAATGAGAAACAAGAATATCGGGAATATTGAGATTTGCAAAACTGGGTATCTTTAAAGCACTTAGATGTCCAAAAACCACTCAAACTGAAAACAGATTGAACTTACTGGTGGGTGCCATGTCAGGTCCTAAAATGCAGAAAGAAACAGGTCAGTGATATGACTGGTTGAAGACTTAAGACTCTCAAATTACTGTTTTATGAGTTGTTTCAGTATCTAATGTTCTAGAAGCCTCAGAGTTTCCATATCTAATAATATGGATAAATAAAGAACAGACACAAGGTTTCACCATTTGGCTATACTTACTCTTTTTTGTTTTTTGGTGATTTTTAAAAATTTCTGCTAATTAACAGGATCATGAATTGGGAGAGAAAAGGTGCACATGAAGCATGAAGCCCAGTACTTCTGGCATGACTCATGGAGATCCAAGTGCTTCAGAGTAGAACTGTGCTCCATAGGATTTTCAATGTCAGTAATCTTACAGAAGTAGATCGTCAGAACTTTCTTCCGTGGCGCTGCTGGGTGGATTTGAACTGCTAACCTTTTGGTTAGTAGTTGAGCGCAAACCGTTTGTGCCACCCAGGGACCTGCTTTTCTCTATAACACCCCCCCAAAACCAAACTCACTGCCATCAAGTCGAGTGTAACTCATAGTGACCCCCATTGAGTTTCAGAGGCAGTAAATCTTAATGGAAGTAGATTGCCCCATCTTCCTTCTGTGGAGTTGCTGGTGGGTTCTGGTTAGCAGGCAAATGCCTTAGGCAGAGCCACCAGAGCTCCTTATACCTACCATTCCTTATACCATTTTCTATTGAGTCTATATATTCTTCTCACACACTAGTTGCTACTTCTGGCCTCCTTTGCTATTTCCTCTTTAAGTTATCAATTTCTGTGTGTTGGAGATCCTAAAGGATCAATCCTTGTACCTCATCCCTTCTCAATCTACAGTAACCCCTTAAGTGTTCTTGTCTTGCTTTCATGGGTTTAAATATCATTTGCATGCTGACAAGTTTATGTTTTCAACCTAATTCTTTTCTTTTAATTAAAGAATAGAAAAACAAACTTACCCTTGGATCTAACCACTTTTCCTAAAATAAAATACAAAGAAGTGAGTGTGATAGGATTTGCCCCCATGAATCCTATAGTTCTTGGTAATGTCTTTGCCTGGGCTCTAACACTCTAGATCACCTGAGCATCCAATACTCAGAGCTAACATTTGTTAATTGTAAGTGATTATATATCAGACACATTTCTAACCATATCTTGTTATTTAATTGATTTAGTTCTGGGAGTCTAGAACTATCATTGCTCTAATTTTATAGAGGAAGAAACTGGTCACAGAAAGATTAAGTAGTTTAGTCTCTAACAACCTCTTGTTAGTGGTTCTGTCACGTGAACTAGGCGGACTGGCACTGGAGGCCATCTGAACCTCATGTCCAGGTTGGCTATTTGGCACTGGTGTCCCAGTCATAATTAACCTAAGCTTCTTTCTGTAAACTTAACTTCCTTGGCTGCTATTTCATATGATATTTTATTCTCATTTTCACCTTATCAACTCTTATCTGAAACAGAAAGAGGTATTAATTTGTTCACAGTGCCAAAGTTTATAAATGACAGATCTGGGATTGGAAGCAAAGTTTTTTCTGGCAATATGGTTTATGTATCAGTCTACCTTTTCCCTAGACATAGAAAAAAAAGGTGATACATTTACTTAACAAATAAATGTTTCTTAATATGTAAAATACAATGGATAGAAGGTTGAGAAGAAGGACACTGTGCCTGACCTTGAGTGATTTAACCATTTAGGAAGGGGGTTAGTCAGATAAACCATAAATGTATGGATGGGAGATTGTTGTTATGTGCCGTTGAGTCAGACCTGACTCATAGCGACCCCTCCTTGGGTTTCCGAGGCGGTATCCCTACGGAGGTAGATTGCCCAACCTTCCTTCCAAGGAGTGGCTGGTGGGTTTGAACCGCCAGCCTTCTGGTTAGCCGTCAAGTGCCTTAGGCACTACGCTACCAGAGCTCCTGGATGGGAGATTAATAGAGGCATATTCCAGGTGCAGATTACTCAGGACAAATTTCTCCTACGTCTCTTTATGGGATACTGTATGATATATGGAAAGAGCCTGGGCTTTGGCGTTAAGGCCCTAAATGGGAAAGGTAAAATTATAAACCTAATGGAAGAAAGAAAGACACAAACACGGATGTTCATCAGAGTGTTGTTTGTGGTTCTAGCGAGATGGAGGTAGTGAGGGGTCCATCATACGAAAAATGGATGAGTACAGTACATACTGTGGAATACTTAACAGCTCTTAGAAGCAGCATGTTAGATGTACACACAGGAAGATGGGAGAAAACAAGTATTTCTTTAAAATGTTGCTAGATGAAATATAAGAAATAGAACATGATCTAAAGTACAAAACAATAATGTAAATTAAAAACATACACAAAACAAGACTAGGTATTTTAAAAGAATAGATGCATGCACAATTTTAGGGTGCCCATGGTGGAGAGGGGAATGGGGCAGGGGGAAGGATGAAGGGGAAAAAGAATATCAACAAATGGTCCGAGAGCATGCACTTTGGATTGATTTTGTTCTGAGTATCAAGCTTGGGTACACTTGCAGTTCATAAATTATTTTATGCAACTGTGTCTTGGTTTCTTCATCATAGAATTCTTCTAAGCAATACTTGGTTCATAGAATTGTCGTGAGATTTAGTGAAAACAGATGTAAAGTATCTGGCTGTTAGAGATACTCTGAGTTTTCTCTTCTCTGCTTCATTCCTTTTCTGACCCATATCGCCTCTGTTCAACTTTTTATTATTTAAGCACTGCTACATGGATTTTCACTTAACCTTATTTCTTTTATCATTCCTTTCCTACCTTCACCTTCAGGTTATAATTACAAAATGTAGTATTTTTGCCTGAGAGGCTGCTATAACCAGGAGACTGTTGAAATAAAGTTGTTATTCCTCCCATGCCTCCCACCTCTATTTGGACTTTCTAAAAGCTCAGGATGAAATACTAAAAACTCAGGTTGAGATACATGAATCTCAAAGCTATATATTATAACCAGAAATAAAAAGAACAAGTGCAGGAAAGTTTCCTGGACACATCCGAGGACACTAGGATTAAGATTAAAATACTTACCAGGAGAACGAGAAGTCGTGCCTAAAAATAATACAATAAAACAAGTTAGATAATGATAATTCAGGTTAATAACCCAACCCTATTAATTGTGTTTTAGAGAAACATCATAAATGATTTCTTAAGGTAGAGCCAAAACTTCCAAGTCATGCTTTTTTTTTTTTTTCTATGATTTCCGGGATCACTGGTGCTCTCACCTACCTTCCTGTACTTTCCCTTTTTAGATTGCTTTAAGTCCTGCTCACTTTATTTCATTCCAGGTTTGTTTACACAGTATCTGTCTCCTGCTGTGAATTCTGTGAAGTTGCTTTCTGTGCTGCTTACTTGGGAACACTGCTTGCTTTGTCTCAAAATGCACATGCTGTGCCAGGCCAACTGGCAAGGTGCCAATGACCCATAACTCTGGTTCACTGTTTTTATTCAGTCTCTTCTCCCTCTCAGTGCTTGGATTAATCCTTTAACCTTCCTTCTGATGCTCAGGGTTCCAAGGTTGTCATCTGTATATGTTTCAGTTGGTTTCCTGAGTCTTTGTTGTAGGAGGACATTATGGTGTGTCTGACTAAGCCTCCATCTTTGGCTTTGCATTACTGAACATTTTGATCAAAGGGTCTATAGACTAATTCTGATCAAAAGTGGGTAAAATGTAGAACAGAATTTAAAATTCCCAGAGAATCCATACTTTCTGGAGCCATTGAAGTTGTATAACCCCCTGAAACTACTGCCCTGAGGAAATCTTTAACCCTTAAACCAAACTATCTACTGAAGTCATCTTTAAACCAAACAATAGTTTAGTTAATTAATAAAGAATGTTTGTCTTAAGTGTTGGGCTCTTTTAAAGAATTATCTGTATGTGATTAAATTGACAATAGCAAGTCAGGTTAAATGAGAAGCTTAGAGAACAGTAAGTTTGTATTAATGATGGTGAAATAATTTGGAAAAGGATATTCAGAACAATGGCACAACCTGAAAAATGTAACCAATGTAACTGAATTTTATATGGGGAAATTGTTGAATTGTTGTATGTTTTATTGTACATATTTTCAAACACACACAAAAATATTTCAGCAGTGTTGAGATAGGATAGTTCATTCTGGTTTTCCACTTTTTATCTCTGAGCTCTGGTCTCCCTTTAGTGGACTTGCTGAAAAATATTTATGATGTCCATTTTTCTTACTATTTACTCTGGTCATGTTTGTCTTTTTCTCAGCCAAATCCTCTTTCTAGTTTCTGTCACAGAATAGTTTTGGTTGTTTAAAAGGTATTTTCAGAATTTCTAGAACATTTCTTCATCTATATTAATGCTTTCTATCCATCTGAGTCATGTGTGTGTGTGTGTGTGTGTGTTTGAACTTTTTATTGTGATTTGGGTGAAAGTTTATAGAACAAATAAGTTTTCCATTCAACTATTCATACACATTTTGTTTCATGTCATTGATTGCAATCCTCTCAATTAACATCATTCATCCCACTTCCCTCCTGTGTGTCTCATTTCCACCATTCCTCCTTCTTTTGTAATCCTCTCTGCTTTCTGAACTTTATCTTTGAATAAATGCTGCCCTTTTGATCTTGAATGGTTGATTGTTCTAGGGAGTGCATATCTCTCCAGTGTTACAGCTCATCTTGTACACCTATCTATTGTTTGGCTGAAAATGGAGCCACAGGGCTTAGTTCAGTTCCAGGTCCAAAGGGTGATTAAGGGCCATAGTCTTGGGGGTTCTGCCAGTCTCTATCTGACCAGTAAGCTTGGTCTTTTTTTTTTTTTTTTT